CTGTGGAAGGCTTAAAGCAGGAGCTTCAGCTGTCACCTGAAAAATGGAAGATATGATGAAGCTGGAGAGAGTCAAAAGCAACCATGTTGTTCAAGAAGGGCAAGACGGAAGATCTGAAAAACTATCGCCCAACGTGCCTGCTGTCACGAGTCTACTAGCTGCTTATTAATATAATCACCAACAGACTGTAAACTGGTCTGAACAAACACTTGCCAAAAGAACAGACTGGATTCCAAAGGAACTACAGTATAAAAGATAGCATATCTACCTTGAGTCAACTCCTCGCACACTCGAGAGAGTTCCAGCTGCTTCACTTGTATCGCAGGACAGGGATGACCGTTATATCAACTTGGTAACGGAAGCAAACATCAAGCTGTTTTTCGACATTCCTTCCGGGATTCCCGCAGTAAAGGGCGTTAAATGAGGGATATCATTTCTGTCGAAACTCTTTACTGTATGTTTGAAAATTTTGTCTCAGAAGATGAACTAGAACAGTAGGATTAGCACGAGTGATGAACAGCTGAGCCGCCTAAGGTTCGCTAATGAAGAGATGTTGTTTCTGCCGATCTGCTACAGTACATGCTGCAGCAACTCGACTGAAAAAGTGCCGAAGTCGGACAGCGAATCAATTGGTCAAAGGCGAAGGAACTGCAGTCGGATACCGAGTAACTAAATAAGTATAATTACCTTTGCCAAGAGATCAGCATCATCCAGCTGGAGAGATATGAGGGAAACAGAGGATCGATTGGCGCGTATCAAGGCCGTTTACCTCAGGAAAACGAAGAGGGAAAGCCGTGCCGACCTTTTCAATTCTACAGCCTTGCCGGCGATATTGCCTGGCTGTGAAACGTGGTTACTCACAAAAGCCGAAAAACGTCAATCCACGCTACCTCTCCCCTAGAGAGCCATGGAAAGGAGAACTTTGAGAATTTCGCTCGCGACCCCGTCCTCAACGCAGTGATCATCTAACGGAAGAAAGTAAAGGACGTCGTCGAAAGCTGAAGCTCGTAGCTCGCCTCATCGAGGGGAGATGATTGGTTATCATTGTCAACAGTATCCTCGTAGGAGGATTAAGCCGCTTGATCGTCCACCATGACGGTGGGAAGATTATATCAGAAACCGGGCAGTCCATGATTAGAGGGATAAAGCTGGAAACCATGAGAATGGCTGGCGCAATTCGTCCCTTGTTACTGGCCGTTACAAGCGATCGTTGTATCGAGTGAAGAGATTTACTTTTCTCACTGTCAAATGCAGATGATTTTAAATCGTGTTTAACCTCGAAGTAAACTATTTAGAGTGAGATCAGTAATTGGCATTTACTCGTTGATTACATTGCCGAATGAAATAGAATCTCTTCATGACTCTGGAATGACGTGGTTGTGTGTTGCACTTAGAGCTGCAGTCTACGATGCCTTCGTCAGAACAATTTATGATCTGCTAAGAACGTAATTACAGTATGTCAGAAGTAATTTTTTAGACTTGTAATAAATTGCAAAGAGAAGCAGCGGAATTAATATGAGGCGTTGGTATTGGTCTTGTCAGCAAGGAAGACACGGTTGGACATAGTTTCCAAAAAATAATAAATCTAGTGCAAGAATTAATTTCTACGAAGTATATGCAAAATGGTTTTGTTTAATATTTTCTTATCCTACAATAGCACTTTTAAGACCAAGCAAAAAGCTTGGTCACTGCCGTTATAATTGATAATTCTGAGGATTTGAACATCCAAATTTGATCTTGTGCCTGAGTATACTAGATAACGTGCAACTCATTCCAGACCAGATTTCACGGCATACTGCACTGCCCCCTTGCTACCAGTTTTGCCAAGGGAGGGGATTCATTAAAGCAGACCAAGGCTAGATTATATTTGAATATGTGCAACGTAGATGCATTTTTTTCATCAGTCACCTTCAGAGAGTCAAGAACGATGCTTCAATAGCTGTAAGTTCATATATGCTACCGAATGAATATTAAAAATTGTGGACATGCCAGAAAAT